ACATAGGGAGAGGCAAACAAAGAAAGACAGAAGGGAAATAAGAAACAGAAAGATAGAAAGAGAAAGAGGGAGAGAGAGAGAGAACGCAGATATTAATCGGGGAATCTCGAATGTGAAAGTCCGGGGAAGGAAATCAAGTTCCTCCCATTAAATATGATAGTATCGCGTATATAATTGTTTAATTGTGGTTCGGCTGAGAAAAGAATGCAAAAAGAAGAAGAAGAACAGACGAGAAGAAAGAGAGAGCGAGAGAGAGAGAGAGAGAGAGAGAGAGAGAGAGAGAGAGAGAGAGAGAGAGAGAGAGAGAGAGAGAGAGAGAGAGAGAGAGAGAGAGAGAGAGAGATTCTCGGAGGAATGTCGATAAGAGCGAGAGTGGGCTGGTTTCCACTGACCGGGCGATACATTTTCGGGGCGAGAAAGTGCTAGGTGGATCTGCATTAAGGTTTCGCTCATTTGTCGTTCTCCTGTTCGTTATTTTTGTTCTCTTGTGTTCTCTTTTGTTTGTTTTCGTTTTTTTCCTGGTTTTAGATTGATTTTGTTCTGTTCTTAAGATAGTTTGTTTATCGTTCACGTCGTTTTCCCGTTGTTGTTATTTTTTGTTCTGTTTTGTTGTTGTTTTAACCTTACTGTCCTTATTTTTCTTGCTATGACTAAATTTAGTTTTTTCCCCAATTCTCTTCTTTATCATTCACTATTTCTTCCCCGCAAATTCCAAATGCTCGATCCGACAGGGCGTCGGGAATGTGGATCGGTCGGCGCCGTCGGGAAGCGCCGACGCCGATCCGGAACTCGTCGGCGAAGGTTTTGCGGCGGCCGTGGCGACGAGGGGGGGGGAGGGGAGGGGGGCTCCGTGGCCTTCGTGGCATGACGTAATGACGCGCAGAATCCTTCCCCTCCTCCTCCTCCTCCTCCTCCTCCTTCGTTATCGTTTTATCGTTCTCTTCTTCCTCCTCCTCCTCCTCTTCCTTCGTTATCGCTCTCCTCCTCCTCGTCTTCCTCCTCTTCCTCTACCTTCTTCATTATCGTTATCCTCCTCCTCCTCCTCTTCCTTCTTCGTTATCGTTTTCCTCTTCCTTCTCTTTCTTGCCGTCCTATTTGTCTTTTCCTTCGAATTAATGACAAGAAGAGAAACAGAAAACGAAAAGGAGAAGACGTAGAATTCCGATGAAAAGCGAAATCCCGTTTCTCGAAATAAAGAGAAAAACGAAAAGAAGGTAAAAAGCGAACGAGAGTGACCATCACAGTGATAATAATTAAAAGTAATAAGAGAAAGAAAATTAAAGTAATCAATCAGACATTTTTTTCTCTAACGATAGATCGAAGTAAAAGAAATAAAGGAAAGGAAGAATAAAGGAGAATTTCGTGAATAAGTCAAGTAATCCCCGGTACGAGTGTGCGTCACCGTCAGGAGTCGGATAATGACACTTCTTCGGCTCCGGATTATTAAGGGCGGGGAGGTGGAGGGGGGGGGGCAGGAGGGAGGGGAAAAGGGGGAGGAAAATGGAAGAGAGGGAGAGGGGGAGGAGAAAGGGAGAGAGAGGCAGAAGGAGGAGAAAGGGATAGAGAGGCAGAAGGAGGAGAAAGGTGGAAGAGAGGGGAGAGAGTGTGAAAAAATGGAGAGAGGGAGAGGTATTGAAGGAAGGGAAATGGAGAGAAATGGACAGAGAGATAAAGAAAAATAGGATAGAGAAGAGAAAGAAAGAGGATGATGGAGAGAGAGAGGAGGTTTAGAGAGAGACAGAAATAGGAAAAAGAGAAGAGGTTATAGAAAGGGAGAGAAGGAACGATAAAGATAGGAAACGAAATAGAAAGAAGAGAGAGAGAGAGAGAGAGAGAATGTTAATGATGATGAGTAGGTGAGTAAACAGGTTCTTGAAAGATTTAGCTGCCGGGAGGAAAACTGTATTACATCGTTACAGATTGGTGTGACCGTTGCTGCGAGAAAGAAGAGGAAAGAGAGAAGGACGAAGAGGGGAAAATCAGGAAAAGGAAGGAGGGGGAGATAGGAGGGAAAGAGGCAGAGGGAGAAGAGAGGAGGGGGAGGATCAGGGAAGATTGGGGGGGTAAAGACGGAGGGGAAAGAAGTGAAGAAAATAAGAAGAGAAAAATAGAGAAAATGAAGAGAGGCGAAGAAAAAAGAGATGAAGAAGAGTAGAAGGGGGAAAAGGATAATAAGAGAAGGGATGAGGAAGACTAGGAAGAGGAGAGAGGAGGAGGAGGAGGAGACGACGAGATCCCTCGACCCTCCTGACGGTGTCCCTGCTGACTGCCCTGCTCTCCTGGGCGTCGTCAGCGCCCGATTCGACCCCGTGCCCCGCCGTCAGCCTCCGCCGCAGCCGTCCGTGTGGCGCCGCTCGACCCGTGACGTGGGAGGTCGCGTATTCCTCTCATCATTGGCTTTGTCAACCCACGCCCGCCGCCCGCCCGCCGCCCGCCCGCGCCTCTTGGCCGGAGGGACCTCGGAGGGGGGGGGGGGAGCATGCACGCACGTACGCACGCACACGCATACGTACATGCGATCACGCTCACATCACACACACACACACACACAGCACATCCTATTATGTTACATAAAGCAAGTCATTTATAGATGAACGGCTGTTGGTAAATACCCGTGATCAACATTGCAGAAGAGACACAACTACAACGAGTATATATATATATATATATAATATATACATATATATATATATATATATATATATATATATATATATATATATATATATATATATACATGGCCGTATACTCAAAGATGATGAGGGTGTTCGCCGGAGACAATTACGAGAGACAATTAAGAGCCTGGATCCGCCGGGGCCTGATCGCGCCGCTGAGCGTCTCGCGACGCCCAACGGCCGATCAATGCCTGTCCTCCGCCGCCCGAATTGGCAAAGCAAAGACAAGCCCGAGAGGCGCGCAAAAAAGCACTCGATAATAATCCTAATGGCGAAAATAAATAGAAGCAGCGATTGTGTGTTTTCAATCCCCCTTATTGAGAGGAGCGACAGCAGCAGACTTCGAGAGCAGAAAAAATAATTGAGTGTAATTCGGTCGTTATAGATGTATTATGAAGCGACGGGGCTGATTGGCCCGCGGTAGCGATAAGGCTGACACCTGGTGGCCGGAGGCGGGACCACCGCTGCACAACCCGTAATTATATAGCATTACTCGGGTTGTGTTCGACACTATCATATTTGTTTGGGTTATACCGATAGTGTGTGATGGTGAGGCGAGGTTTTGTTGCTTTTTTATTATCTTTTCGTTTTAGTGTTTTTTATTATTATTATTGGTTTGTATTTTTCTTTCTGTCGCTCTTAGCTATCTACGTTCGATTGTCTCGCGAGGATGAGGTTTTCAGTTTTCGATTCGGTTGACTCGCATTGCTTCTCTTTGTTTTGCTCTCAACCGTCTTGATTTTTTCCCTTCGAAAGGTGGCGTAAATCTTTGCTTTGTTGGATCTAATCGCCGATTATGCAATACCGTTGTCCTGTGTGGTATTATCGGATCATAGCCTCTAGCCCCAACACCTGCCTTCCCAACCGCGGAGTGCAAAACCCGTTTGCGCGCCGCCCAAATCTGGCGAGAAATCCCCGCAGAGTTTCCGTCAAGGCTGAGAGAATGAGTCTGAGGTTTCCCACGCATCGCGATATCAGCGTTTCCGATTCGGTGGGATTTTTCCCTCTCTACTCTGACAGGTGACTCGCTAATAAAAGATTTTGATAAAATCTATTGTGTCGTGTTTTTGTCTTGACTGGATTTCATGGCGGAGAGGAGAGTCCATGGGATCTGAGAGTGACTTTGAGAAGAAAAGTCAACATTTCATCCGACGGGAACCGAAGACAAGGCCGGAGTCACGTCCGAACATGTGATAGTGTCCGGCAGCATCCGGTGTTTTGTATGAGAAGAAACTTCCCATTTCGTTTCATGTTTTTCCCTAATTTATTATTCTTTGTGGCGGCGAATTGGCCGTTGGTCCTGCGTCTGATTCGCTAATTCGATACCGTTGTGAAAACACGAATCCTCGAGGAAGAAGCAGTTTTTTAAAAAAAATCGATCGTCAGCGAGGAAAAAATAAACGAGAAAAAAATAAGGAAAAGAACCGGAGATAAAGAATGAATATAAAAAGAGCCGAACTTCCTGTCGTAAATGTGGAAGCAAATAGATTGTCTTTTGAGCGATCTGATCCTTTCATCTCCATGTTTACAGGTGTTAAAACTCAACCTTTTATGTCTCGATTTGCACAGCCATTTTGGAGAGGGAAAAAGTTACGAAATAGGCCTATCAGATTTTCGTTATACTCATCCGTAAGTTTGAAGTTCCATGTTTGAATTTCTATAATATTATCATAACAATCGGGTAAAAGTATCATATAGATAATCCGTTAATTTCGCCAATTTCGTCTTACTACGATATTTCTTCGCTCTGTCGCCCGATTCGGACGTAGAGGACTTAGTTGCGAGCTTTGCCAAGAGATGGCGTTAGTGTACGGTCTTCTCAGGTCAGGTGATGCTGCCATCTATCGGCCGATGGGAGAACTGAATTTAAGCTTTTATTTTATATTATGTGTGTAGTATTTTTCTTTTGAGGTACAGAAATATAAATATAGATATTTTAATTGGATGATTGATATCTGGAGACGTTTTTTAGACGTAACTCATCCAAGAGCGTTTTTTGTAAAGCTTTTTGTAGTAAATATTAAAAGTAGCACATGAGGATAGAGTGGATATGGCATGTAATTATATGTGATGGAAATAGCGTAATGTATATTACATTTTATCTATGAAGTGAAAATATTTTATGCGTATTTCCCAGCGTTTATCCGTTAGAGAGAGAAAAAACGATAAACTTGGCATTCGAATGAAATATTTTCGTTCCATTGGACGACTGTTATAGATGACTGAAGATAAATGATTATAACTAATGTATTCCCGCTAGCTTACCCTTTCCTCTAACTGTAATTAAAAGCCTGTAATTACATATCTTAATATCTTGGTTTTCAGTGTCCGGCACCTATTACTTTGGCGAGAATCCATCGAAAGGTAAATACAATAAGACAGTATTTCGCTTGACGCTTCTCTAATGCTTTGTATTTTGTTGCTGGAATGTCTTCTGTGTCTCGTAGCTTTCATTGTTTGTTAGTTTTATTAATTCATCCATTCGTTTGAACACTTCACACGCTTGTTTATTATTTTGTTGATAGATCTATATGTTGTTTTGTTGTAGTGTTTTATTTTTTTTTTCATCCGTTGTGTTATTATTGTCATTATTATTAGAGCAGGTCACACGATTAAGCTTTGGCTCGCGCACCCGAAAACCGGGGTCGAAACTCTACGGCATTTGCACTCCATGTTTGGGAATAATCATACCCCTTTGAGTTAATATTTTCATAAATTTAATCTTTATGGACATATTTCCCCCACACAAAAAGTTGCTTTGTTAAGAAACCAGTTATAGAACTAAATAGAATAGGTAAGACAAACTTTATATACTTTATAAAATGCAGTGAAAACACTTTTTATATTTATAAAAATACGACGAGAGGTTCTACGCTCTAATTCCTGCTCTCGGCTCGGAAGGAGGTTCGAGCACAAAGAAGCGGCCTCCAGTGAGCGTCTTGTGTGCATTTCAACGCTCTTTTATTTCTTGGGTTATTTTTTCCCTTCCCTGGACCCACTCTCGTGTGCACACAGCCATTCCACGCACATGATCACTGTACACGCGCGTTCTCCTGTCTGTATGTGCACATTGCTCGCACCCGCACACGAATCTCTCTACATTACCTGATGGATTCGATTACTTACACATGTGTGCATCTCCAATCAAGCTCATAGTTATTTACGTACATACACAATTTATCATTTCCGCCAAATATGATTATACAGACGAACGCACACATTGTGCGTCTTTACAGATGTCCACGTGTGCACCAGCGCATATGCTCGTCTAAAAATAGGTTTTAAAATGAGAATAATACACTTTCCATTACTTCTTTGCACTTAGAAAGTATATTAGAAGACTTGTAGCATTTTACGTGTGGCGCCTTGGCATGTCAGTAGAATGTAGTTGTTGTTTTTATAACAGTAAAAAAAAATGTATTAGAAATTGCATTTGAAAATTAGCTATTGTTAGTGACTATAAAGTCTTAGATGAATTTATTTAGATGGATGTAAATATCTTTTCGATTTCTCTTGCTGAAATACAGAAGAGTTGATAATAGATTTACAAAGATAAATACTGCTATACAAAAGATATCAGATAATTTGATGAATACAATAAAACATAGGATAAAACATATTAAAGAAAAATTAAAAATATATCTTAGAAAAGTAAAAAACTAATCTAATTTTGTCTCTCTTTTCAGGTGAGTGTTAGTATTCCCGGATTTGTTGCAACTTCCAGCCGCTTTAAGGTAATTCGCTTCTTTAGACGAGTCTACCCTAAAAGAACACGTTTTCTTTCTTTCGCAATACTCCAGTTCCCACAGAAGTTGTGTGTGTGTGTGTGTGTGTGTGTGTGTGTGTGTGTGTGTGTGTGTGTGTGTGTGTGTGTGTGTGTGTGTGTGTGTGTGTGTGTGATTAGGATTCCTACTCTCTTTCAAATCTTTATCTTTGAGGTGAAGGGTTAAATAAGAAACGATGGCTATTAATATATTTGTCTTTTACACATTTCTCAATTTATCCATTCTGCGCAATCTGTATCTAACTTACCTTGCGAATGTCAACGTCCCGCAGCAAGGGCGAGGAAGTGACCAGATTTTCGAGCTTTTGATAAAGTCAAATCAGATTGCATTTTTCGTCCGGCCGTCTAACCTTCCTGCCCCCCCCCCCCCCTGTCTCCCTCCTCCCCCGCACCCGCCTTCCTGCCCCTTACCCATCCTTCTGTCCTTCCTCTCTGTTCCTTACCTCTCCTCCCTTCTCTTCCCCTCTCTTCCCCTCCTATTTCCCCCTCCCTCCCCTTCCCTAATCACCCCTCCCCCCTCCCCTTACCCCCAATATACCCCCTTGGCCCCTGGAAGGAGATGCCAACGACGGTTTTCGGGCCGAAATTAATCATTCCACCGGGCGAAGAAGGAGAGAGAGAGAGAGATTGAAAAAAAAAGAGAAGGAGAGAGCGGCGTTTCATCTTTAAAAGGACATGACAAATACGATATGAAATGTTTCGCTCCAGGACTCGCCACCTTTGATGATCAATTAGCGCTAACAGTCCAACAAGCCGTGACTCGGTCGTTTCTTACTGCCAGAGCCGCGCTTGGAGCCTCTGCTTTGAAGTCATTACAGCTATTAATGTGTATCCGGAAAACTCCTTTGTATTTTACGCCTCTTCCCTCTCGTCGCTCTTTCGCTTTTCCCCCCTTTCTCTTTCTCTTTCTCTTTTTCGTCGACCTTTTCTCTCTCGTTGCTTTTCTTCTTATCGCTATCGTTATTCTTCATTTTGTGTATCTCCTCGTACGCGCTTGGCTTCGTTTTTTTGTCGTTTCTGCGTCTCTTTCTCTTCGCGTGCTCGTCTCCCCGTTCTCGCCCGCTGCAGAGGCCGTTCCTCGACGTTCCACCTAATTGTTCTCGACCAAGGACTCTGCAACGGCAAACGTTTTCTTTCGGGAATATCCTGCGGCCGCTGATTCCCGGGCGATTCCAAAAGGATTCCCGAACGATTCCAGCTGCGAGTCGGCCATTGTTCGGCGAAGGGAGGCCAGGTGTTGCGGCGCCGCTTCGGGGATTTCAACTCGGGGCTTCGAGGCTTCGAGGAGCGGGACAAAGGAATCATAAATTCGGTCGCGTTTCGATGGACAGCCGAGTTGTGTCTTTCTGCTGGAAGAAAGTGCTGCCTCGCTTCCTCGTCTTCTTCTCTATCTCTTCTTCTTCTTCTCTATCTGCTTCTTCTTCTTCTTTATCTGCTTCTTCTTCTTCTTTATCTGCTTCTTCTTCTTCCTCTTCTTCGACTTTTAATATTTTTCTCTTTTTTGACCTTGTAAGACAGATCCTTTTCTTGACTCACGAGATTCTGACGCGCAGATAAAATGGTCTTTTAATTTGCTTAAAATGCTTAGGATATTTCATAAATGTATACGAAGGATCGATCACAAGAATTCTGATTTTCTGGAATCTGTGGCCGACGTCGGTTCGCCTTCGAGAGCTGAGTTACGGCAGACGCCCTTAATGGCCCCGACACGCCGCCCGCCGACTCCCACACCGCGAGCGGGCGGGCGGCGTCGCGACACACCCTGACCTCAAAAAAAAACTTACTTAAACATCAGAGCAGAAACAGCAACAAACGATATGACTCATTAATGGGAACACGCCCCTCCGCCGACCATGGAGAGCTCAGAAATGTTTGGATAATACTTCATTAATAAAAAAAAGGTAAACTACTTGCGGCGCCAAATTTCGTCTGCACTAAGATAACCCCTAGTTTTGGGTTTAGTGTTTCTCATGTATTAGCCATTATGATCATCCGCGGCAATGTTGTGTGCCGGCAAGAGAGCAATAAGTTATTTTGTTTCCGCATTTAGCGACACTCTGTCGTATGTTATTTCCCTGCTTGAAATGCCTATGATAACATCTGTCGTATAAGATCTTCTTCCATTAATTTCTCATTAGCACCTTCGCTGGAAACAATACTTATCTACAACGGATATACTGCGTGTAAGACGTAAAATTCTTTCTTCGTCAAACATCCCTTTCTCTCACTTGCTCAGAAATTATTCTTAACAAAATAAAGCAATCAAAAAGAGAGAGAGGAAAAAAGTCTTTCATCTACAAGCAGCATCCTCATATATTTCAAGTTTAAAATTTTACTAACTGAATACTGCCACTTTGCCCCTCGTTGGATGCAGTATTTCCAGTCTTACGAACTCCATGTGACTCTCCTGAGGTACCTGTGGCGTATATGAGTATGATTATGGATGTTTGCTGATAAAGAACACGTCTTCACATTCCCACTTCAGTCCTTGCCTCAGTGTCTCTTATCTTGAGTTTTTCTTTTTTTGCGAGAGATCGGAAACTACGCGCATAGATAATGCGCAATGAGGCTTATAAAGTATGTTAAGTAAAATACATAGAGAAAGGCATTCCACCCACCACCACACACGCACACGCAGTAACACGTCCCTGTAATTTCCCATATACCTCTACATTATTTTCATTAGATTTGTCGGTATCGCGGTACAATAGCTCTCAGTTCTCCTAATTGCCATCAAAACGTTACTTGCCTTACAGATGTATTCGTGAGAATCTCTCTGTGTATGGTAATATCGTGAAAGATGAATAATGCACTGGCGCCATTTGATATGAATTTTTAACATCTCACAAGACGGGCACTCAGCGGATAGTGCCCGTCTTCGAATTCTTTGCAATGCGGTGGGGGGTTCGAATCCCTGTCAGAGAGGGTTGTAAGTTTCATGGTAAATATCGTGCGTGGGTTCGATTATTGCTTGTTATATAGTAGAATGACACCAACGCCAAAAAAAAAAACATAACCCAAACGAAATATATTTGATGCTGTTCAGGTCTCGTCCACTGAAGTTGAAATAACTTCAAACAGAATAAGAGAAGTAAAACAAAGAAGAAGGACAATAGATAGATTCTGGCGTGAGTCCCGCAGGCGCGAAGTGCCACTCGGAGTGGTGGGAGTGCACAATGGCGCACATTCAGACGTGGAACGACGCATGGCCGGTAATGCGAATGCAGACACGCAGCGGAGCTTGAGAGCGGCACCTGCCTCCTGTCGCCCTTAAGGAATGCGACTGACGGAAAGACCGCTGTGTGAACCTCCGACCCCTGACCCTCCCGACGCCCCCGAGGTCACCACCGCTCTCCCTTGCAGGTAGCGCCACTTCTCCCCTTGTCGTGGCGAGGACAGGATCCCCTCATTCTCATGTTATGACCACTCTCCTCCCTTTGGCTTGGCGAACTCACCGAGCCAAGAACTCCCGTCTTTCCGAGGCACCCGGGCGCCGTACGTGCGAGCGAGGGGGGGGGGGAGCCGTGCATCGCTCGTGAATCGTGTTGAGTGCTTCGCTGGTTACCCGAGGCTCGTATCG